GGAAGCACTTGAGAAAAACAAGACTTAGGACTTGGTGAGACTGCCTAGAGGGAAGAAGCCGGTTGGGTGTAAATGGGTGTTCACAACCAAATACAACTCAGATGGCTCTTTGGAAAGGTATAAGGCAAGATTAGTTGCCAAAGGGTACACTCAAACCTACGGCATAGATTATCTTGAGACTTTTGCTCCAGTTGCTAAGATGAATACTGTGAGAATTCTGTTATCAGTGGCTGCAAATTTTGGCTGGAGATTACAGCAATTTGATTTCAAGAACACCTTCTTACATGGCGATCTTGAGGAGGAGATCTATATGGAGATTCCACCTGGGTTTAGCTCAAATGAAAAGGAAGGAATGGTATACAAGCTTAAAAAAGCTTTGTATGGACTGAAACAATCCCCAAGAGCTTGGTTTGGGAGATTTACCAAAGTGATGGTGAGTATGGGATATAAGCAAAGTCAAGGTGATCATACATTGTTTGTAAAACATTCAGCATCAAGGGGAGTGACAGTATTATTGGTCTATGTGGATGACATCATAGTAACAGGAGATGACTTGGAGGAATGGAGAGCTTGAAGAAACAGTTAATAAAGGAATTCGAGATCAAAGAGCTAGGAAAACTGAAGTACTTTCTTGGTATTGAAGTAGCCCACTCTCGGCAAGGGATATTTATATCACAGCTTTGGCTGATACAGGCAAGCTGGGATGTAAGCCAGTTGAGACACCTGTGGAGTCAAACCACAAACTTTGTGATGCTCCAGAAGACATGGCCGTGGATAAAGGCTCTTTTCAGAGACTTGTGGGGAAGTTAATTTATTTGTCACATACCAGGCCGGATATAGCTTATGCTGTGAGTGTTGTGAGTCAATTCATGCACAATCCCAAAGAATCACATCTCAAAGTTGTGTATAGAATTCTGCAGTACTTGAAGAGTACGCCAGGAAGAGGAATTCTGTTTAAGAAAGGGGAAGGACTGACTCTTGAAGCCTACACAGATGCGGATTATGCAGGATCCGTGATTGACAGAAGATCAACCTCGGGCTATTGCACCTTCCTAGGTGGTAACCTCGTTACTTGGAGAAGCAAAAAACAGAATGTGGTTGCAAGGTCCAGCGCAGAAGCTGAATTTAGAGCGATGGCACTTGGGATATGTGAACTGCTATGGCTGAGGATAATCTTGGAAGATTTGAGACTCAGATGGGAAGGTCCAATGAAGCTTTAATGTGATAATAAATCAGCCATCAATATTGCACACAATCCTATGCAACATGACCGCACAAAACACATTGGACAGGCATTTTATTAAAGAGAAGTTGGAAGTGGCCTCATTTGTACTCCTTTTGTTCCCACTGGAGAACAGCTAGCAAACGTGCTTACCAAAGGATTGCCTAGTACCGTTTTTCAGAGAATAACCAGCAAGCTTGGAATGGATGACATCCATTCACCAGCTTGAGGGGGAGTGTGGGAAAATACGATTCTTTCCTTGTATAAGGAAATCGTGTACAGGCTGTTAACAGCTAAGTATTTATTAGTTGTGTACAGGCTGTTAATAGCTAGAGATTTACAGGCTGCTGTTAATAGCTAAAGATTTATTAGTTATTGCAATCCCTGATTTCTAGGGATCAGTTTTTATTAGCTTCCTAGAATAGCATTATTCTAATGTACATATAAGAGTGTATTCCCAATTCTTTAATCAATTGATTCGATTACCAATTTCAGTAATTTTGTCAAATATATAGATATATCTATATATTAATAAAGAATGAATGTATAAAAGAATAATTTTGTGTGTCTATGTGTTTGAGAGAGAGAGACAATTCTCTTACAATGATAAAACTGTAACGAGTTCATTCTCTTATAATGACAAAACTTTTCCAAGTTGCTAGATAAAGTGAGAGGAAACAGCAAAGAGAATGTGAGAAAGAAGAAGCAAAGAACCATGACATTAAGTGAGAAGGAAGAAGTGCTTACCTCTTCTCTTCACATGTTGAAAAATCTTTCTTTATTTATTTTTTTTTTTTGATAATATATATATATGTGTGTGTGTGTGTGTGTGTGTGTGAATAAAAAAAGGCTCAAAAGGGGAGCACATTCCATATATAAAAGCACAAGGCCAAAAGAACACAATATCCTCACTATAATCTTGTTAGAGAGTTTGTGAGATAGTTATTTCTTATTCTTTTCTTCATTAATGGCTCTATCGTGATTTATCTTCTCAATATATGAATAGGTGAGACATGAGAGTCTCAAGTTATCAAAAGACCAAAAGACCCTCCACTGATTTACAAGATCTACGATGAATCCAAGAGAATAGGGAGCTAGGATATAAATAATTTTAAAGCCTGAATAGGAGTCTTCTCCCCTTCAAAGTATTAGAGTAGGATTTATTTTATTGTTTGAGGGTAGTACTGTCTTTTCTCTCAGTTTATTAGTTTAGGTCTTATTATATTGTATTCCTCTTTAACATTTTATCGGTAATATACACGACTAGTTTTTCTCCATCTTCTTCACTTTTCTTCTTTACTGTACAAAAGCTAACATGGTATCAGAATAGTGAAGACCTGGATTGCAATCGATACCCTAAAAGTTGCAGTCACAAACTTGGTTCATCTGCTTTGACTTCATCGCATCATCTTGCAATTGCAGTATCACACATTGAAGAGCCTTGCTTGTATCGCATAGCAACATCTCTCGCTTTCTCTTTCTGTTTGCTGCGGCGACAACTTGGCTCTGTTCATCTATTCGCACAACCTTGCAATAACAGTAACAGTAACAGTAACGGTCCTTTTGACTTCGATTGCAGTTCTAGTATGCAGCGGAAGTTATTCAGAAAGCTCATCTCACGGATTCATGGACAGTTGAGACTCCTTTAGAGCGCAATGTTCATTACTCTTCCTCTGCGTTCCATTGGCTGATCCTACTTTGTATCGCGTCATAGTTGACAGTTATGTGACCTAAACTTACCTATGCAGTTCACATTGTCAGTCAGTTTGTGTCTACTCCTACTACTGTTCACTGGGCTACAGTTCTCTGTATTTTGCGCTATCTTCGGGTACTTTATATCAGAGTTTGTTGTTTTCCTCCACTTCTGTTTGGAACTTTAAGTCTTTTCTGATTCTGATTGGCCCGGGGATTTAACTGATCGCAAGTCCATTACTAGTTTCTGTATTTTTCTTGTTTACTCTTTCATCTCCCGGAAAAGCAAGAAGCAGACAGTTGTTGCTAGTTCCTCTGTTGAAGCTGAGTATTGTGCCATGGCTGCCACTACAGCAGAGATAATTTGGCTCCGATGGTTGCTTGGTGATATGGGTGTTCCTATTTCTATTCCTACTCCCATGTATTGTGATACCAAGAGTGCTATTCAGATTGCACACAACTCTGTCTTTCATGAGCCCACAAAGCATATCAAGATTGATTCTCATTTTGTGCGCCATCATCTTCAACTTGGCAATATCTCTCTCCCGTTTATTTCTTCTACTATGCAGTTGGCTCACTTTTCACAAAGTCCCATACTATTATGCATTTTTGCTTTCTTCTAGGCAAACTCTCGATGCTTCTTACTGTAACATCGTGAGTTTGAGGGGGTGCTAGAGTAGGATTCATTTTATTGTTTGAGGGTAGTATTGTCTTTTCACTCAGTTTATTAGTTTAGGTCTTATTACATTGTATTCCTATGTGACATTCTATCAGTAATATATACAACTGGATTTTCTCCATCTTCTTCTTCTCTTTTCTTCTTTGATGTACAAAAGCTAACACACGGGATCTCCTATTCCCACCACAAACACAGAGAGGCTACCCTCCAAGCATCTTGAGCTTGCCTCCCCAATATCCAACCCTTCCAAGCTTCAAGCATACTCCTCGTGGAAAATGTCATGACCCACCCAATGTCAAACACAACAAGAATCAAATCCCACCCCTCCTGAGCCACTGAACAAAGTAATAGGAGATGATTGATTGTGCAACCAGTTGAATAATCTGCCTTCTTCTCCTCGAGTTGTCAATCGTCAAAATCCTCCCCAAGACGACAGTCCAACTAAAAAAATTCACCTTTAGCAGGAATTTCTCAAATCTCCTGTGAGAAGAAGCCACCCTGATCCACTCATCGTCCCCCTCGTCCTCTACCTGCTTAGTATACAATGTAGCTAAAAACTGAATAAAGTCCCCCAACTCCCAGTCCTAAAGATGCTGCATAAACTGGACATCCCACACCAACCTCCTGCTATCAAGGTGATAGCAGTCAGCCACTGTAGAGAACCCGTTTGTCAAAAGAGACTTTGGAAAGCACCTACTAACGGCCTCCCTCCGCACCAATCATCCATTTCACCAAGGTTTAATAAAAAAGGACAATTTTGGCATTAAATAAAAAAATTCTCCCATGGCCCTATTATGCTTAGACCTACTTATATTTTGGTCAAACCTCAAGTGGGGTTCACCACAATTTTCACCAAAGTTTAATATAAGGTGCAACTTGCAAACCTCAAGGAGGTCAGGTTATTTACTTTTTTCTTTTGATAAGTAAGATTTCATTAATAGATGCTCAAAAGGGGAGCGAACCCTAAGAAATACAAAGACGCCCAAGGCGACACTATAATTTCAAGCCATCCATAAACTCCAAAAGATGATCTAAAGATTTACAATTTGTCCCAACCCATGCTGATAAGGTTTTAGTCTGGTAGGTTCATGGACCTAATCCAAGGAAAGCTTTGACACAGACTTTGCTAACTCTAACTTTTGCTAATTAAATTATTCTTTACATGTGAATGACGTGAAAATTTGAAAATTGTGCCCTCAGACAGCCACTATTTTTTGTGTAAAGCAACCATCATAACATAAAGTACAGCATTTTAAAAATCTTGGAAGTGATTATCATCATCATCATCCTTGCCTTAATCCCATAAAGTAATGATATTTCATGCAACTCACCCTAGCTAAGAACGAAACAGAGAAAAAAAAAATGTACAAAACTAATCTACTCCTGTACAGATAAAATGGAACTTACATTTGAAAGATGAAATGGACAGAATTTTGGCTTCCCTCTGCGCCCATACTTTAATAGATATGACCCTCTCTTCAGGGCTGTAATGGCCTGCATTTAATATAAATATATATATACACACAACTAAAACATAAGATTTAGTGACAAAGTAATCTAGAAGGAAATAAAGAAGAAATTGAGAAGATTCACATCTACAAATATATAATTTAAAATTCAACCAGTACATAAGGATATAACAAATTCGATATACCAGAGTACATACATCATCTTTACTGACAAAAAAAACAAAAAAAAAACAAAACAAAACAAAAACAATAAAAGAAACACATTATCTTTGGACAAAATAGGGATTCCATCTGCACAAAAAATATAAAAAGGAAAGGAGGATATTGATTTATCATCTGAAAAGGTTACAGCTGCAATTATTCATGAAAGACATGGTGCTTTTTGTGTTTCAAATTTGTCTTCTGGGTGACTCTTAAGCCTATCATTTCCTCCAGTACAAACTATTTTCAATTGTCACCTTGTAGCATCTTGACCTGAAAAGGCTAAGTCGCCAATCTTCCTCATGAATGGATTTAAGTTAACACTGAAGTTGAAGGATAAATTTTTTTGAGATAGAAACAAATGGTGAACTGGAAGTAGATATATAACCTCATTGTTAATAACACTTTTAAGACATTTGGAGCCTAAGACCATTTACTGAGTGAAAAACCAAATGAATCAAATTAGGCATCATCAAAGAGCTGAGCAAGATAGGCTGGAAACATAATTCAGGGTGAGTTTAAATTATCACCACAGAAATGGTCAGTAAACATTCATTAGTATGCCAAGACAGCTACGTGCTTGATCTTAATAAAATAATACATGTACCGAACAGGGATGTAAAAAGTTGGTAGCAGGTGGTGGAGTAAGGTAAGACATGACTTTGTAAAGCATAAGAAGAACAATTTTGAAAATACTGTAAGTGATAACAATAGAATAAAATAAACAGTTTGGTGCATGAGAATTCGGGGAGTATGGAAACAACTTTGTTCAGCTCTCAATCAATCCCTTGCAATAAACTCTCATTAATGTCTCTCATTCTTTACAGTGGATTTATTGGAATCCTTCGCTCATGATCAAACCATTTTAGATGACTTTCTCAAAGATTACCTCAATTGGTGTCACCTCTCTTCTCATCAATGCATTCTCCTTGTATTCTCCCTCTTTTACCACTCATTCACGTTAGCATCCCACTTTAGCCACACTCATTTTCTATGCATGCTTTTCAGTAGAAGATAGACAACATTTTGCATCATAAATCAAAGTTGACTTTAGAATTGTGTTAGAAATGTTTATATTTAACTAGTTTGTTTTTCCCAGAAGATTATATTTAACACTTTTTGTTTCCTTTGATCATGTGAAATCCATGACACTTCTCCATTTTTCCAGCCTAGTATAACTTTTATAGTGGGGGTTGAAGTGGGTTCAGTTGTCAAAGAGTAAGATGGAAGCGTCACCTACAACATGGAAGATGTACAACAAAAAGGTCCAAAGTTGGCTCAGTTATTGCACAAGATTTATAATTTCAAGCTTTGAAATGATCCAGAAATTAGTGTAAGCTATAATGATGATTCCATAGTAGTTTTCTCATCATGAGGATGTCCAGAGTAGTTCTCTCATCATCAGGAAATTTTAATGATACATTAGGTGGATATTTCAGACCTGTTGCTTTGGCGTAAATATAGGAAGTTGGGAATTATTAGCCAAACCAAGTAGTTGGAAAAAGGCTTTGTTGAGTTGGGAATTTTCCTAGTTTTCAAATAAATAGAAACAACAGAAAAATTGGAAAGCTGCTTTTTGTAAAAGCCAAACGAAATTACTTCACATGTATTACCCTACATCTTTGCCATGTTTCTTTTTCCTTCTCTTCCTGTATCACATTCCCCTACTCTATTTATTTTTTAAAATTGTTCTTGATATTTAAAGAAAATCCTAAACTTGTGCTTTTGACTCCTGTGTGACCATGCCTAATAAGGCTGTTGAAGGAATAAAATTGCAGAAATCACTCAACCATGGTCAATGCTATCACTAGATGCTGCTGCAAAAAATGGAATAGTGAAAAGCAATAGTGATGATCCCAGAGTAGTGCAAGCTATAGTGATGATTCCATAGTAGTTTGCAACTTAATTTGATAAAAATGTTAGCCTTCCCATAGTTGTTTTCTCAATAGTGTTTATGGTGATTGCAGAGATTACAATGAAAAAGACGGACTTATGAAAAATGCATGGAATCATTTTTAAGATTGAGATTGACAAATCTGAGTCTTAAATTATAACTAGGCAGCCAAAAACCTAAGTGCTATAGATTGTTCACCGCTTATAAAATACTACTCCACTCAACTAAACAATCCTTTCACCAACTGGAATCTCGCCACCTAAATCTGAGAAATTAATCCAAAAATAGTACAAAGTCAGACTTTTTATAACTTCCTCAGTCCAGTGCTTTCGAATGGTAAATCAAATACAATTGAATGTGAAGCCAACAAAGCAGCCAAAATTTTAGATTTTGGCAGTTAATGACATATTTTTGATAAAGAGAAAGAGAAATATATATGAAGCATAAAGAGTATACTACAGTTAATTGGTCTATGAATGGTTCACATTTAAGTTTATCTATTTATTATTTGCGATAAAGATTTGTATGGCTTTTTTGAGTTTAAGCCGCCCCCATTATGAACTACAGAAGCCATCTCAAGTAGTCAATGAAATCAATATGATTCTAAGCCACAGTAGAATTGGGGAAAAAATCGAAAGAAGATTTGAGGGAGCTACTTACCTGCTCAACATTTCTCTCACCAAGACTACTCCTCTGTAGATCAGCCATTCCTGCTGCAATATCAAGTATGTCCCTTGCATAGCATAAAACCCATTTGGAGAACACCAAACCTCTAAGAGATGACAAAACAATGTCCAAAGGTTCCCCATAAAAAAAAAACTTCACATGTAGTTTGGTGCTAAAACACAGAAATAGAATTTCAAGTAGCCCATCATGAAAAAATCTCTGCTTTGGATATCAGGAAGATCAAGAGAAAGGAACATAAAATCATTAAAATTCATTTCATTTAGAAAATTAATCATTTTCCATTCCTTTCTCTCTTCCTTTCTGAGAACAGACTAGAAGGCTACTGAAACCTCCCAGAATCCCAAGCTCAAATAATGAACAGTTTGGAGATACTACTCATTGAAGTACCTCGATCTTAAAAAATCCTCAAATTCAGAATCACGAACAGTCAGAACCTAGGACAAACATAGAAAAACAATCAAAATATTCACATTATGTTCTGTAGCCACAAATCATCAATCACATACAGAACAATGAATCATGTTAATAGAATAATCATGTCATCAACCATTTTGAATTAATTTATACGTCCAGATGGATTAAAAAATTTAACAGGGCTCTAAAACCAGCTTCAAACTCTTAGAAAGCTAGGGTTTCCTACAATATGCGAATAAAATCAAATTTCACGAATATAAACATCAATCCCGATTAAGCATGAATTCCAACAAAAAAGAAGCAACGCTGATGGAATTTACCTGCGAGTGGATAAAAATGAATACAATGCTGATCGTTGGACAGTTTCGACGAACCAGAGATCGATTTAGCTCCAAGATCAAATAGGAATGACCGATTAACGAACTCAACAACTTGGTTTCGCAGCTATGGTTTCGATTTCGACTTCTCTTTGAAATGTAAATGGAGCTCTCGATTGAAAATGTTCGTAACAGAGAGAAAAAGGAATTGAGATTTGCAGAGTTTCTGAGGATGCCTCTATGTATATATATGTATATATGTTTCTCTCTCAATATATGTTTCTTTCCCTCCGGAGAGAATTTTAACTCATTTTATTTATTTATTTTATTTTATTGTGGGTTATTTCAAGAGTCGCGATTTATTGCCACGTCACCAACTGAATCTGTTTGATGGGATGGTTGTTTTTGTCATTTTCTTCCAGAAACTGCAGCCCTGGAGCCTTGACTGGTCAGATGACTTCCCGCCATTTTCTTCCAATAACACGTGGCTTCTCGGTAGCTATTTCTATTTTCTTTTTCTTTTTTCATTTCGTTTTAATATGAGATGAGTTACATAGCAAAAAAAAATTTATGATTATTATTATTATATTTTTTTAAGTGTTAAATTTGTGACTACCTCTTGTACTATTAATTTGTACAGAATCTTGAAGTTATGGATTAAAAAGAAAGAAAGAAAATAATGTTAGAAGGTTAGAATCGTTGTTTATAAAAATTCCAATAATCCATATTTAACAAGAATTTTTCGTATTAATTGAAACTTTTATTATTTTTATCTAATATGGATCTTTCTTTTTTTAAATATGGATAGTTGGATACCAATATTTTTTAATTTTTTTCTTAAAAAAAAATATTCATCAACATGTGAACTGAAATTTTGATTAATTTCTTGTTGAAATACTTTTTTTTTTTTTTTTCTTATATTCTCGATCCAATTTTCTTTGATCAATTAAAATTTAAATCTTCTCGATCCAATTTTCTTTGATCAATTAAAATTTAAATCTCTCTTGTGGGCGTAAAAGTGAGAGCCATGAGAGAGTATTAAATATTCCAGAGGTATGGTACCTCTAGGTCATTTTGACCCTTAGATATGGTAGGACCCACCACCACATCTATGATCCAACAATTTCCATTATTTTGAAATACCATACTCTTGGAATATTAAACCATGATCCAACATACTCTCAGAATATTAAACCATGATCCAACAATTTCCATTATTCTGAAATACCATACTCTCGGAATATTAAACTTTTCTAATATTTTCCCATATCACAAAGTAGGGTTTGAATACAATTTTAATGCAATATTTATTACTCTTGTTAATTTATTTATTTGTGATAGATGTTCCAGATGATGTGCTCGTTTGGGAGGAAAATGAACCATACCGAGAAACAATACAATTTGATTCCCACATTTATTACTCTATTTAAAAAATAATTGTTGAAACATACGTCACACCTAAATTTTGACTTAAATTGTTATGGTCATGTTTCTATAAAAATTGTTTCAGAAATGAATCAAAATATATCAAAAGTAAGGTCAATGTAAACGTAGCATTGACCATTATTTAAATTTAAGAGCCAAAAAAATTATATGTACAAATAAAAATGAGTAATGCTATCAAAAGGATCCATTGAACTCTGTTAATTAACCACAGGATCGAGAAAGGAGATTTGTGATAAATTAAAAAATTCTTTCATAAATCTCTCAATTTAAGAATTAATAAAAAAACCGTGAAGACTCTTGTCATGAGAAAACTCTCTTGATAGCATTACTCAATAAAAATTACGAACAAAAATAAACAATACTTACACTGACGTAGATTAATAACAAATGACGTAGATTAATAACAAATGAACATGTCATTTTTAATTATAAAATTGGGAAAAAAAAAATAGAATAATACTTAAATCCTCACCGTGAGTACGTACCCATCATCTCTCATTTTATAATTAAAAAGATGTCTCACGTGAGTATCTAAGTATTATCTAAAAAAAAAATTACAATGATAAGCTTGTTTTTGTTAAGCTAAGCATTTACCATGGCAGGGCAGATCCCAAACCCATTCTAAGATTCATACTCATTTTTCACCCCCGTCCCTGCCCCAACCACTCCTATGACTGAATGATTACCAAGATTTAAACCCAGTTCCTCTCATGGTTAAGACCCAAAGCTGACAACAATATAATTAACACAGCTTCATAATAAAAACTGGTGTTATGTACTGCACTGTCTGATAGAAGAGTTTGTGCCTGAGAAAGCTCAAGAGCATAGCAACAATAATTACAGGCCAACATTCTGTATTTTCAGAACCAAAACCCTAACCAAGCATTGACAACAAAAGGACAACTACCAAACAGCAAACAAGGTTTCCCTAACCAAAGGATCTGGGCAGCAGCCATTAAAACCCTATCGATGCAGCTCAATAACCGTAATGCTCATCAAAAAAGGTGTAATTGCTACCCCTGGAATTGGCATCTCTATCAGCCTGCAGAATAAGAGAAGACAATACACAAACCTGCTTCTAAGAGAAAGCATGAATTTATAAAATCTGACGCCAATTTTTTTTTTTTTTTTTTCATTGGCAAGAAACTCACGCACCCATTTGTCCCTATGGGGACTCGAACCCTCACCATCTCCTTTGAGAGGTAGAGGGGATACCACAAGGCTACAGCCTTTGGTAATCTGATGCCCATTTTAATATGCTATAAAATAAAACTTTAATTCAGCTTCACTATTTCTGGTTTCTAGATTAAAAGTAGTTCCAAAGGGCATGTTTAGGCATAAACTTTCCCCAAAACATAAAAAAAAAACTATTATGGTAACAAGGCATACCCTGTTCGTCAGCTTTTCGAATGCTTCGGTACCATTTTCTTCAATGTATTTCTGCGCAGCAGTTAGAATGTCATCTCGCTTACTACCGGCAGTGTCCTTCTTCTTTGGGATATACCAGATGTTAACAGTCTGCGGGTTAACAAATAAAGGCCTAACAAAATGCTCATAAACATAAGCAGCACCACTGAAGTATGGTATGACCAACCAGCATGTTGCAATAAGCTTTGCATACGACCAGATAGGTATCCTGCCGCAAAGTTAAGAATAAAGGCTAGTTATTTTAGAAAATATTGTATACAGATGCTGGTACTACAGAATATCTGAAAATAGGACATAATTTGTAAACAATAACCATGAAAAATCCTAAGATGCCAATCATATCTCAAGATCAATTTTGAGTCAGTCGGCCAACTGAAACCCAGAAAAATAGCTTATATATATATATATATATATATATTTCCACAGAGAGAGATATTCTGTCTATTCTGCGCGCACACACATGAAAGAATTGGTGTAAGGATATACAATTTTTAAGTTTAAGGATGAAAAGTTAGATCTGAAAGCATCCAATACTTTGATTCTACAGACAAAACTTTACATCGTTCAACCTGTGACAAAGAAAATCTCAACTTGTTTTGCGTAGCAGTGTCATATCTCATGTTTGTGGGAACTCTTCAAAACTTCAAAAAGTTGATCATCACAAATCCAGTCATTTAATTTACCGATTGAGGAGAAGTCTTAAGAATTATGTGTTCTTTATGTCACATTGATTGCAATAGTTTATTTGCAACATTGAGAACCATAATTACTTGGACAAGTTAAGATGACTATTGTATTAAATTGCAAGGCTAGATCTTTGCTTTTCAATTTGAAAATTCGTATTGGATGGTTGGTCATCGCAACAACAGAAATTGGTATGACAACCTGAGTTTTTTCATGTATTGGGAACTTGACAAGTGACCACTCTAAATTAAGATAGAAAGCCGTAAACTCCTACCGCAGCTGCACAAATCCTATATTTTTACCTTTCAGCTCTATCTAGAATCATATTCCATTACATTAATGGCCACAACATTTTTCCCATCACCACCGATTTTTGACCTCACCACACATTTTGGATTTGCATTTGCTCTTGTAGCAGCTATTCCAGTGGCAGCAATGAATTAAGGTCATTGTGACATGATGGAGACAAAGAATTGGGTAGTTCTGTTTGTAACTAGAAGTAACCTTTGTACTACTTTCGTGTAGTAGCAGCAGGGTGGGTTCATCAAGAAGTTCACCGATGAGAATTGTGCGCAGTTTTTATGGTTCAATTAGGGCAGGGGCTAGTGGATTGTTTAATGGTTTTTTGCAACAGGCACTGGGGTCTTGTATTGATTATGATCCCCCAAGTTTGCATGTACAGGGGTGGTTCGATGGATGTAGATTCATCATCAGTTCTGATAGACAAACTTACGTTTAATATGGAGGACAATTTTAGGGAGTTGAGTTCAGCAAGATATGCTAAAGATTTGCTTTGGGATGCACAACTGAGACACAAGATATTTTGTGAAGATTTTGTTGTTAATGCTGACTAGTGGATATATACATATATGTATATATTTGAATTTTTGTAAAAGGAATTGATAATTTGGATTGAAAAGTTTTTGCATGGATTTTTAGGGAGAGAGAGAGCACTTTTAGAAAGAGAAAGAATGATGAGAGCAATTTTAGCAGAGAGAGAGAATGAATGAAGAGAGAGAGCAAGCGTGGAAAGAGTAGTTTAGAGAGAGTAAGTGAAGAGAGGGGGTGTGGGATATGACAATTGTGGTACACTAAAGGATAATTTGGGAATTAAGGAGGAAATCTTAATCATGTGAGCAGTGAGCCACACGTGTGCTTTTTAACTGATATCTTCTAACGGACCAACAGCGGAAGGGTGTGATGTGCAATGTTTTCTCAAGGACAAGGTGTTATATACCCATTTGGAACATTAAGGGGTATTAAATACTAAGGGGGTGTTTTTCGCACTTTACCTGTTACAGATGCCACCAATATATTCTCACATAATATGAACATTTTTTACTTTGTCATTTTTGCATTGTCACTGCTTTTTATCTCAACTTATTTATTTCAAGCATGTTAAGTAGTAATATACATAGGATAACATCATAGGACTCCTGACTCTTAATAAATAGGACTCTTAATGATTTTTTTAGGTGGCTTATTATCTTGAGACGTTAATAAATAAAGGATTGGTCAAGTGAGAAATTTAACTTGACAATTCTCTTCATCTCAATATTTCTTCCCAATCTTTTTCAAACATCTTAGCGCTACAAATCAACTTATATTGTTCTAGAGCCTATATCAATTTGAGGGCAAAAAAAAGGCTAGCCTAGTGTACAACACTCCCTCTATTGAGGACAACAAGGGATCAATAATATTTTGTTCATCTACGATGGTATATCTCAAGGTACAAGGTGCTCCTGGATAATTTGGAGTTGTATGTCATATACAATGTACAATGTATCTATCCCTTCTTCTAAACATTGAAGTTCACAATGACAACTTGAAGTAACTCAGATCAGAGCCCTTGGGCAAGGCATCGCCACTAATTTATTTTACAGCCTGCAGACTAATTTATATTAGCAGTCTATATTTTGACCTTCTTTAAAGAGTAAATTATGTTATTAACCGATCAGCTTTAATATTATCTGGTCGTGGTGTCTCTTCCTCTCCTTAAGTTCATCAGGCAGTGGCCATAGAAGAAGTCGTGGCCATGGGACATGGTCATGGACAGGATTCAGAGGAAGAGCAAGAGGAGTCCCTCATCGTATGACTGCTTTTGTACCTTCTGCAATGCTATGGACAGGTGGAAAAGTTTGAAAATCCTGCTTGCCCGAGCAGTTGTCCACTGCCTCATGGTTGGCTAATAGTGTCCAATTCGAGGATGAATTTGACAAGCTTGTGCAAATATCACAGAACTCTACTACTGTTTCTGCTACTTGGCTAACACAGCTTTTGCCTCTGCTCTCGATTCCCCTCTGAGTCATGACCGTAGGTTATTTATTCAAGAGCTCCAGAGCACATGACATGCAACCATATTGTTCTCATCATTGCATAAATTCAAAATCTCCAGTCTTCATTACCTGAGCTGATAGGAAATCTTCTTCTGGTATAGGACGAGGAACTCTTCAACCCACCTCTAGCATTTCATTTGACTATGGACTACTAGCACCTCATTTTCCTATAGATTTAACGTATGTGAGTGAGTCAACTACATAGTCTAAATTATTGACCTGTTCAGCCACTTTCTTTCATTTGTCTATGCATTCTTATTTATCTGTTCTATTGGTCTTTGTATCAGTTGGATGTTAAGAATGCAAGGGTGACATTTAAAGCAATCCCAAAAGGCATGGTTTGGCAAGTTCAGTGATGAGGTTCTTAAATATTGACTCTACATAGAACGTGCTAATCATTCGATGTTTATACATTTGACTTTTCATACTGATTGTGTATCTCATCATCATCCTTGTCTTTATCCCATATGAATGAGAGTGGCCAAATGATTTCTCTTTTTTCGTTAGTTTTTATGACAAGTCATTTTTCCTTTTATATATAATTTTTCGAAGTCATATTTAAAAATTTCATCCTATGCTAACTTTTTGGCACCTCTTTGTCTCTTACTTTCTATGCAAACTAATCTTCCGTTTCTTCCAGGTGCATCTACGGTTCTACTTTGCATATGACCATACCACATAAGTTTGCTTTTTCTTATTTTATCACTAATAGGCGCGCCTCTCCGCTCCCAATTCAAATGTCATGTCGACGTAACTTTGGATTACTTATTGGGTATTAAAGTGGCAATGCTTGAACAAGTATTTATCCCTCTAAGAGATAAACCTGTTGCAGGAAAGTTGCTTCCTTGAGGCTCGCCCTGCTGAGACTCCCATGGACTCAAGTCCTAAGCTAAGTTGTGAACAAGGAGAGAAGTATGAGGAACTCAAAAGGCATCCTGACTTGTTGAGAAATTGATTTATTTTGACAGTCACTAGACCAGATATTTACAAAAAGCTAAGTGGTGATTTATGTGGATGCATACTGGATACGTTCAGCCTTTGATAGGAGATCTACAAGTGGTTACTGCACCATTGTGGGTGTTAACCTTGTTGCCTGGAAGAGACAAAAAAAGAAGACGTAGTTGCTTGATCAAGTGCTGAAGCAGAGTATTGAGTACTGGCTCTCACTGTTGCAGAGAAGAGCAAATTTTATACTTTACTTACAAAGATGAATTATCCACCACATTTCCCATGGGCCTATGCCGTGACAATTAGGCTGCCATCACATAACATCCTTTCTGTTCTTTCACTAAAGGACAAATTATATTATATTGACCATCACTTCATCCAAGAGAGTATTGTTTGTGGTGACGCTCAAATAATTTACATTCACTCTCCATCTCAATTGGTTGATTTGTTTACCAAGGCCCTCTTTCAGACACAAACATCAATATTTTTTTTTTTTGGTTTCAAGCTTTTCCTTCATATGTTCAAGTTGCAACTTGTAAGGGGCTAAGTGATAAATATAGAATTCTAATCATGATAAGCATCATGGTAAGAATAAGATTATTATCTTGATATATACGGGGCTCTTTATCTTGAAAAACACGGGATAGAACACATCTTCTTGAAATGACCACCTTTCAAGGAAAATTGTCCTAAGGGGTAGTACCGTAGTAGTAATCGGCCTTTTCTCTTTTGTAATTCTTTTGGCAAGTACCATCCTCATTAGGTCTCATCCTTCACTGAAGTCCACCCAAAGCCCACTCATTCTAGATAGGAGTTTTGATGAGCAGTTTTATGAGGACTCTTATCTTGAGAAGCTAATAAATACAGGATTGGTCAGTGAGAAATTTACTTGAAAACTCTCTTCACCTCAGCTCCTCTTTCTTCACCTTTTCCTATTTCAAATATCTCATCGTGATATATCAACTTACAAAGTACACTCAAATCATTTAATTCATGTTGACTGCCAGGTATTCTGCACCATGAAATGAAATTTAACTTGGTAGTCAATAGTCATCTTACAAAAGTTTATTTCAACTATACAATTACAGTCCAATCACACAATACTCCACATTCATTGCTCCACTCAGCAAATTCTATGGCTCATATTTTCCTCTAATATAATGTAGACATTGAGGATGACCGGTCCAGGACAACAAAATTGTCACTTTAAGCATCTCTTGGCCATAAAATTTCCCTATCTCCCGATTTTGTCAATCCTGCGACACATTCTACATGTATAAATGTGTGTGTGACCGTACATATGACATAATGCTACTTATCCAAAAGACTAAAATAAAAAGCATCTCTATGGTCCTTGGTAGAGGTTAGCAAGAATTCTACTCTCATCTACTAAAACAGCATTATTAGTTAGAAGCATTCACCATATATCCATAACAAGCCCATCTTGAATACACGAAGTAGAGTAATCCATGAAAAAGCAAAGAAGTAAGGGCTTAACATCAAGGCCAAATAGATTAGAAGCTCACTCTTTCATGTTCTTGCTAAAGTATTACTCCATTCCACATCTCTAATCACATCAATATTTCTAACTGAGGCACTATTTTATCTTTCACAGAAACCACAGATTTTACAGTTGTAGATATCAGCAACTTAATTTAACAACCAATAAATAAATAAAAGATTAAGAAAATTGAATGAAATTACAATACTGTTCCATAGTGCTGGTTCCACTAATGCAATATGCTACACAATAATACTTTATAAGAAAAACATAGTCTGAACATTTTCATATAGATCTCAAAATTACAGAATTTGCCCTATCTTCTTCATCAGAAGAATGAAGCTCAAAACCTATGCTGTGAATATCAGCACTCCTCCAATATACAGAATATCATGAATAGTTTACTTATGGAGAAATACATATATATATATATATATCATGACTAGTTTGCAATTCAGTTCTAATATCCACAAATTATTCCGGTTATAACCACATTCTTCTAAGTTTCATAACATGCATTTGCTTTCTTACTCTCAATATCATTCACAAATACTCTTGGAATTGTTCCCCTGATGCTGAACTAATATGATGCTGGTTAATTCACAATCTCAAAATCATTGCTACAGCAAATGGTAGACTCATTCAACTTCTCCAAACCATAACAATAAAGCTATGTAGTTCCCAAATTGAACATATAGAAAGTGCAGAGAAATATCAAGAAAGATAACAAATTTACCATTCGATGAGTTTGGCAAAGGTAAGCTCAAAAAGAGTGATCATAGAATACAGAACCCAGTAAGTAAGCCATTGCTGATCGTCGATGGGAGACTTAGTCTCAATTGCCCTAATCGAGGCATATCTGCCAAAGAATCCAACAACATAACAAGAGTTTATCTTTTCTCAAACCCATACAAGAAAATTAATTACTCAAATCACCCATTGCTGGGCAGCATATGAAAAATGTAAAATAAATGCAATCTTCTCTCAAACTCAATCACGTAAATTCAACCACTCAAATCGCCCATTGCTAGGCATAGTATGGAGAATCTGAAATAAATGCAAACACCGAAAATAGATTACCAGATATGATTAATATGAAAAAAATAAAATAAATGCAATCTTTTCGCAAACTCAAACAAGTTAATTCAAACCACTCAAATCACCCATTGCCCCATCATATGGAGAATCTAAAATAAATGCAAACACCGAAAATAGATTAAGATATGATTAATATGACAAATATTCATTTTGGATTAGTAGTGAGAGATAAAGAGAAAACCAGTCCACTTACAGAGGATAAGCCAGACTAACCACAGGCCTGCACATCATGCACATGAACCAAATCAGGAAAAAAAATAAAAAAATGGAAAAGAGAAAAAAACCTAGCATTAATCCCACTAGATTACTAGAAACCCATCTGAACTTTTAATAGTTATAAGCAAAAAAAAATCATTTTAAAATTAGCATTAATCCCACCAGGTTACTAGAAACCCATCTGAGCCTTTAATAGTCATCGGCAAAAAAATCTTTTTTTTTTTTTTTTTGGGGGGGGGGTTAAATATACACACGCACACATATGAACAGGTGAACAACTACAAGTACAGAAATCTAAGCTGAGAAACACTATGAAATAGGCAATGACTCTCTCTCTAGAATTTGGTAAAGTAAGAGTGGAACAAAAAGGACATTCGACAAATAAAAGGAAAATAGAAATATACCCAGCAAGAACGTCGAAGTTTTTAGCCAACACCTTGAGGAAGTTTCCGGCACCAGAACCCATCTTTTTTATCCAAAAATGTTCTGTGTTTTTGATTTCCTGTTCTGATCTAAAAAAATTCTCAGAAGGAATAAGAAACTGTTGGGGTTTAGTCGGTTGTGAATGTGGTTCAGAAGTGGAGAGAGAGAGAGAGAGAGAGGAGAGGGGGGGACAGAAAAGTGGACAAAAAAAATAATAGTGTAGCAACAAAAGTCATTAAATGCCCTGTAGAATCTACTTTTAAAAAAGGGTAAATTGCACTCACACCCTGAGGTTTGGGTCAATCTCACTTAGCAGGGTCAATGCACTAGTTTACACTCACACCTCTGAGGTTTCAAAAATCATATTTACCCATGAACGCTAATCAATATTTTGTATTCCCCACCCACCACCGCTGCAACCCACGCACACCGCTACATCAAACACAACATATCCACCACACACCTTATCGGTATGACAATTATACATAAACCTTTGCAATAGCACAAATCATTGTAAAATAGGGCTATCGGTCGGGTAAGTCGAACCACTGGGACTACAAGGTTATGGTAACTAAGATACTTAGAACCACTTTTAGAATGATGAAAGAGGTGTAAAGAGGTTTGTTGGTTTGTTACGAAAACTAAGAATTGAACAATGCATAAAACAATATTGTGCTAGGAAGTAAGAGATAGAAAAATAAAGAGAGAGGACTAGGAAAGTAAATCCACTACCTATCAATAAGCATGCTAGGACATGATTTACTTGGGGAAATAACATATATATGTATGACCATGGAATGCAACACACAAAATTGCTACGTTACCTTCAAAAAATTTATGAAATCAATTGGTAAGAATAACCTATCAAAGCATTACATGTCTTGGTTACCTAAACTAAGATGTAACCTTGGACATGATCACTAAGCCAAAGATTATCAAACCATTAATCTCATAATAAGCACATGAAATAGAAATCAAGAATAATCTATCAAAGGAAGGCCATAAGTAATAGATTATCAAATTTTCTAAATATCACGCCAATAAAAACACTTCCAAAAACTTATCTCCATTGTCACTATGAAAATGTAGCAATATAATCATGAGAGAAAGACAATCTAAGATAAGATATTTAACTCAAAATGATCATTAATAGACATTGAAGTTCTTTGCATCAAATAAAGTGCTCTAGTTCATGGAAAGGTCACATATATACATTAAACCCCCAAATATAAATCAAAACAAAGCAAAGCTTACAAAATGGAGCTTCATCACCTCCCTAAATAGGGAGTTAATTACCTATGAAGACAAAGAATGAAGAAGAAGATGAAGAATCCCTCTGCATTTTCGCACCTTAAGCTCAAGAACACCCAAGACCCTCCAAACTCACTATTTCTCTCTCTAGAACTTAGCCAAATGTCAAATATGGATCAATACAAGCCTTCCCCCTCTTATCTAGGCAAAAATCTACTTCCATCCACTCAATCACGAGCTCCAACCACCCTAGAGGTCATTTGGACCACACAAAATGCAGAAGGAACAAGGATTAGCACAAAAGCAGGAGCAGGTAAGCTGCTCTCTGCAGATCGGCGGGTGCCCACGGTGCTTGCATCCGGAGGTGGCGTACTGGGGGTTTTGGCGGGTGCCTGCGATGGGGCAGCGGGCACCCCCGAGAGCGCGCGACGGAGGCCTGCGAGAGCTGCAGGGCCCCTCGGAGGAGGGCCTGCTACTGTGATGATTGGCAGGCGCCCGCGGAGGCTTGACTTCCAAAAGCTCTCAGCCATCTCTTTAGCCTCCTTGGATGGTCAAGTGATGCAGTCGTTATTTTGAATACAATACTGCAACATTCATACACACGATGGCTCAAGGAACTTGGCTCAAATAACAGTCCCTAGCAACGGCTTACTTTGATTCTTCAAAAGATTGTCAAAATCGTTCCTTTAGCTACATTTGGGGGAACCGACCTGAAAATAAACGAAAACAAACAAATAAAGCTAAACTAAACATTATTACCAACTAATGGACTTAACTAATGCAGATAAGGGCGCTTGAATATGCAATATTCGGTGCTTATCACACCCCCAAACTTACATTTTGCTCGTCCTATGGCAAAACCAAAATATAGAACCTAACAAAAATGACAACATATGAAATGCTGACAACATGCAACAATCGTAAAGCGAGAAATTACCTACAAAGCTCAAATGTAACTTAGAATAACATAAAATTGGAGAAAGACTCATTCAGCAGACTACCTTGCATATATGAGGCCTTGATAAACAAAAATGGTAAAACACATTTCAACTTTTATGCATCAATCATCATAGCCTATATAAACACTTCAATTGTCATTTCTCAAAAAGATTTGAACTCTAACTTCAGTGAAAGTGAACCGGATTCCTAATATGTGGCTTTTACCCTCTTTTTCCAATCTCAGAAGCACAAGCCTTCAAATCATTGAATTTCCTTCTAAATGGGTTTTCTAAGGCATGACTTTATTCACAATACAACTTTTGTTGCTTGTTGAAAATTTATTCAATAGCTCGAAATGATACATACTATGGTTGTGTAATGCTGAAGTCCCTTAAGCTTTTTAACCAACCCTTGTAGCAAGTGTTAGGCCAACAACTCCCAAACCGGATGGCTTTAGGGTGTTAAGTGTAGAGACACTCCCAGGGCTTAATAACTCAAGTTGAAAAGGTTACGAACTCCAACGAACCATATTTATTTATTTATATCTTTTTGTGAATGACCGTGCAATGTCTAAGTCCATTAAGCTTTCTAACCAACCCTTATAACAAGTGTTAGGCCAACAACTCCCAAACCGGATGGCTTTAGGGTGCAAAGTGTAGAGACACTCCTAAAGCTTAATAACCAGAGTTGGAAAGGTTACGAACTTAAACTGGTCATTATCATTGCTTACTTTTCTCTTCTTCTTTTTTTTCTTCCTTTTTTTTTTTTTTTTTTATAATCAAGAAAAACATGCCAAAGATATCCATTCATTAGGGTCATCACCTCAAATCAGTTGAGTCATGATCAAAGTCAATCGGGGTGTATCCCTCACAATTAGGTTTCCGGTGTGCATCTATGCAATGTGAAGCATAGAAGAGTTTGAAATTCAACGAAAATCGAATTGAAGCAATTATACAAGCCGATAAGAATCAACATGGTCATTACAAATTTTTCTTTATTTTCAAAAATATCATTTGCCTCTAGACACAAAGTCTTAAACATATGCTTCCATCTCCAATGAGTTCCATGATTACACTATCATTACTTCCAATAAAATGACTTTACTAACTTACATGCATCAAGATATGGACATGCAAGCAAAAATGTTATCTCAAAAATGCAACAATTGCAATGCACCCCCAAACTTAAATGTCACATTGTCCTCAATGTGAGAAGACAAATGATAAATAATGAAAAAGGAAGAGTGCAACAAGAACAATAGTACCAAGTTGAAGAGGAATTGAGTGGTGGTGCAAAAATAGGCCACTTTGTGAATTCCATGAGCATACCCCCAAACTTGGTTGCAAAAACCTGTCAAAAGCATCTATACACAGCAAGAATCATATGAATCTAAAATGAAGGAAAATAACTGCAATTTATTCAACTAAAAACTATAATCCATGCAAAGTAGCAAAAGCGATGCAGTTGTAAGTTCAAAAGAAGATAGAAAGCAATTGCCAAACGCGGCCCAAAGGAAGTCTAAAAAGTACTACTGAAAAGGGAAATAAGACTAGAAGCATAGAATCCAGACGAGCATTAAGGGCAAGATAATCAGCACGGGTCATGACATCCAACGACGGAACAATAGGGGCGGCGGGGGCATCAGGGGCCGGAGCAATAGGAGGAGATGGAGCGGCCCAATCCAAGTCATCTCTAATTCGGGCCTGTCGGGAAGTCTTAAGCTGAACTGTGCTAGACTTCTAGACCCCGAGGTTGAAGTCATCCACTGTCTTCTCTTTCGCCTCACCACGAGGTGCTCTAAACTCGGCATCTTTAAGCAACATGGTGATAAGGTATGGAAATGGAAATGCCCAGGTGGTAGCACTGCTGGACCTCACCAAGATCAACTCATTATAAATCTTGAGAATTTGGTCCCAGATAAGATGTGGGACGCAAAACCAGTACTCTTTTTCAGTAGCGTAGAGGGCTTTCAGAAAATCCCCCTTACGCTAGGAGTGGCCTGGCACGTGAAGGAAGTTCTTGGCTAGGATTGAATCAAGAAACCACAGCCGGCATGGTAAGAAGGATTTATTGGTGCTTATGGTTCGATTGCCGGTAAATTGACCGTGACAAATTTCGCCCGTAATGTCAGCCAAAGGAAGCTGAGCCGATGGGTCAACATAAAGAGGGAGGCCTACCGCATCCACTGGCGAAGCCAATGGACAATCCATGGCCATAGCAAGGTCATCCAGGCCAAATTCATAAACGTCGCAATCAATGGTGGTTTTGATGACGTCAGGTTCCGCACATGAATGGAACAAGTTTGCGTAGAACAGACAGACCACGCGCGGGTAGTAGGCATAAGCGCGTGGTTTGAAAAGCGAGGTAAGGCCACGTGCCCGTAATTCGCAGACTAACCATGCGGTTTCTTGATTTTGCTCAAAATCATTGGCAATATTGAATTTTGCTTCGGGGACAATTGGCCATTCCGCCCAATTTGGAGTTGAAGGCACATTAGAAGGGCCCTCGGACGAGCGAGCACGCTTAGACGCAAATTTGGGAGCCATTGGAGTGAGGAAATTTGGTGCAGGAATTTCTACGAACACCTAGCGTGCACAAGAATGGGGAAGAGGGACAAAATGATGTTATATATGAAAAATTCACAAAATTTCAACCTGCAAATGACATGCATTCAATACCCAACAATCACCAATCCTCCAACAATAGATTCCCATCCTTCTTGATGTGAAAATTCAAAAAGAAAGAAAGGAAAAGAAACTTACCCACTTTAGAGGAGCAAAGTCCTCTTTTGCTTGATGAGAGAAGGATTGGAGGGAAGATTGAGATGGACAATGGAAGGATGGTGAATGGAATGGATGAAGATGGGAAATGGAGAGAGAGAGAGTGAAGGGTTTGAGGTTTGAATAGGGTGGGGGCAAGGGTTGAGAGGGAGAGGGTATGATTTAAAATGGGCTTGAAATGCCCATTTTAAATGCTTCAGCAATGGCGGCGGGCTCCCGCAAGCTCACGGC